CTGATTTCAACTTTTTAAAAATTGAGTATCTTAAAATTTGAATATCACTGGGAAACATCACATGAAAAAGCAGAAAAAAATAGAACTATTAAAAAATAGATCTGTTAAAAATAGATCTGTTAAATATGTTGAGTGCATGTTTAACATGGTCTGTACCAAATTATATTATAACCCCAACAAGATGCCTGTGGGACCAAACTCAGAGGCATGGACATCCTTGCTGTAAAAACCCATCTTATCAAAAATTCTTGCAAATAACAACATGGTTCTATGTCTTAGAGTTGTGGAAAAACGTTTTTCTTTGGGACCTCGGTCATCCCTTTGTCCCATTTTTAAAGTTAATTTTTTCATTCCCAAAGAACAAAAAATCTCTGCATGCAAATGTTAATTAATGGCTTGTGTTAATGTAATGGCAGTTAAAATAGTATCTTTTTGTGGCTACTAAGAGAGTATCTCTTTGCTGACTACTGGGAAGTAATAATAGTAGACAAATTTAATGCTTTCCTTACCTTCTTAAAAGTGGTACCTACTGTACTTCAGAAGTTAAAAACATTTTAGAAGACAAATTGAAAGATTTGAAAATAGCAGAGTGACCTCATGTACTATTATATTGCATTAGCGCCCTTAACTGTAATTCGTGATTTTTTNAGTGAGCCACAGGCCGGCCCCATATTTTGTTTTTTGAGATGAATAATATATTGTAGTTTTAGGATATGTATGATGGCTTGATAGTCCAAATCCATTGCTGAATCATCAGAATGAGTGAATCATATTTTTAATTCATTAATAAAACTATGAGAAAAGTGGAATATGATAAGGTATTTAAATTATGAATTATGCTGGTCTGTACATTGTATAACAGTGTGATTATGCCACCTTTGTAGCACTGATCACACTAAACACACTGACATGCCAAGTTATTTCAGCCCAATAAATCTGCACCATTCTCATCTGGTTCTGATTTCAACTTTTTAAAAATTGAGTATCTTAAAATTTGAATATCACTGGGAAACATCAC